GCCGCTCCCGACGTAACATATATATCAACTATGCTTGCCACAACCTCTGATTCCACTTTCTCTACTCATGGGGTCCAGGCCGTGCAAGTTCATTGTGACCGACGAATTTGCAACTCAATGGTCTGGGTTGAAAATCGTCCTGTAGGAACCCAGATAAAGAATATAAAATGGAATCATCGCATTTAGTATAATAAGAGAAGCAACTTCCGCAGAAAATTCTAGCTCTATGTTGCCTTGGGACTTCGTAGACGTCCCGAAACCTCTCCAAAAGTAGTTTTCGTACCTTGTTGAGGTTCTTTAGCAGTGATTTCAGAGGTGAGAGGGGCAAATGCATCCATATCGCTTCATACAAACAAGATGGATACGATCACGATATAGAGAATGTCCGCGACCCACGAGTTTTCCTCCAGAGGGTGATGCTTTCCTCGGCCTCGAGGCTCACCATTGCCGATGGAAGGAAAATTTGATGTGGTGGTTGAAGAATTCTCAACAGGCGAGCGCATAGAAGTGCGCAATGTGTTCGGAAACTGCTGACGTACGGGAAAAACCGGGTTCGCGCGCAAATTCCACCAAGGCCTTGTGGAAATTTGCCGTACCGATAGAACCAAAATGGAACCAAAATGGCATCCAAGACATCACATTTGCCAACATTACCACTACAGTACTGAGGGAATACGTAACAAAGCTAACATATTACCTACATCCAAGCCTATAATACATTACCTACGACTCTTCGTCTTCTTTAATTCATTCCATTCTCTCCACAGTGGCAGTCTTTGCCATTCTCATGAAGCAACATCTTCATCAATTGCCATCAGCAACTGCCACAGCAACATGGAAACCATAGTAGCTCTCCAACATAACAATCAACAGACCTTAGACCTTGGGGACAAAAGAAGGGAAGGAAAGGGAAGAGGAATCCATCAGCTCGTAAAATTCTCTAACCACTTTCAGTTCATCATGATGATCGTGTTGTATGGCATATAATATTCGATTTGTATAAAGGTATATGCCCGCTCAAGTTTTGAAGCTACCATCGAACGCAGGAAAAAGGGAGTTTTTACGGGATTGCTCAACAAACAACGAATTTTCTTGGCGCTACAGGAGTTTTTACCGGACAAATTGCCGATACAGGATCGAAGGAGAATATACGGGAAAAAACGGATGGGAGTACATACCATTCCCGTAAATCTTCCAGAAACCCCGTAACTTTCGTCCGCAGTGGCATTCTACTGAATCTTTTATATCTCCAAATACAAAATTTGCAAGCTTCTCGGAAAAGTGCCGCAGTCAAATTCTGACCGGTGTTCAATATATATACAAAAAATCATGTCCCTAGTCGTGGAGCCCGGCAGGCTTCTTTCCATATATAAAATGTGTCGAGCTTATTGATATTTTATGTGTTATCATGTCTGCGGGACTAGTTTCCAAGTGTACTGCTGGATCAATATAGAAACGAGAACCGCAACGATCTTCATCGAACATCAACGATGATATTATTTCCACTTGGAATACAACTCAAGTCTTTATCTACTATGGATTCTTTATTTCGAAAGGCAATTGAATTCAACCAAGACTTGTCCTCCTAATGGGATACCTCTCAAGTCGTTCGCATGGAATTCATGTTCTGTCAGAAAGGAAGTGGAAAGTAAGTCACTGACGGGTTGAATGGTATTTAAGTAATGGAGTTGGTGGAACTAACCATGAGGCTTTGGGGCCGAGCGGGTCACCCCAGGGGTTTTTTTCAATGAATTTTTCAAATGCCTCGGTGTCAGCAGATCCCATAGTTGCTGCAAACTGTTTGGTGTAGTGGATATTGTGGCAGCGGGGGCGGTTGCAATGGTAATTGGCAAATAAGAAATGGGAACAGAAGGCTGCCTGTTTGCCGGTGATGGGGTGTTTACATTTGAAGGGGGCAATTGGAAGTCGGCCTGGGCCGTCATACGTCAGGTATCCGGGATGAGTTCCTTGAGGTGGGTGCTTTGCGCGCTTGGTTGGGTTGGGCTGTTCACGGGAATTGGGGCTCTCACGTTTGGGAGCGGGGGTTGGTTTTCCATTGAGAATAGCATGCAGGTTGGGGCATGTGCCGGACGGGCCAAGGTTGCCCATACTGATGGAGAGATTGATGTGGCTGATGGCTTGTGTGACTCCATTGAAAGCGTTCACGAACGTGTCTGCCATGATCGGTTGGCCATTACGAAGGTTACACTGGGTCGTTTTGTTTTTTGCGGCTCCCAAAACAATCTGCAAGATCTGGTTCATTTCGAGGAGGAGACACAGTGGGAAGTGGGGGACTGCGGCATTATAACGGATCCAATCTTTGGCAGCAGGTGGGTGGAGGGCGTTCATGAAATCCTCCAAGAGTGTGATGATTAACGGGGGGTCATCGAAGGTAAAGTCTTTGACATAGTATTTGACAAAGGCAAAGAAATTCGCTAACATCTTGATCAGAGCTTCGACAGAACTGACGTCGCCATGAACAAAGATGTCTGTCTTTTTCGCGGCTTGCTTCGACTTGTCTTCTTCCATGGCTTCCTGGCGGATTATGTCTCGGCCTTCCGAGAGGAAATTGGTGTACCTGACATCATTTTTGTTCGGTGGGAGCCAAGCGAGGAGGCTGGGAAGTGAGGTGGCTTCGTGGGGGTGCATGGTGAGGGGTCGAACTCCAAAGCTGCATGTTTTGAGGGCAGTGACTGTAGCGTGTTGGAAGAGGGCAATATCGAAGTCGACGTTGTGGTCGTAGTTGTTCCGAGTGGTGAGGGTATCGGTGATGTGGGCAAAGGTGTCATGGAGGTGGCGTAGGGCCTCTTTGATCGAACCGATTTCCAAGAATGTGGCAAAGGCGTCTGTGAGGACGGATGGGTGGAATTTGTTGACAGTGGAGCCGTCCAGCTGGATGACCGGTTCGGCCAAAGATCAAGCTGAAAGAGTCTTTGGCACTGGCTGAAGTGCGGGCCAGATCTTTTTCCTTGGTGCTGGCATTGGCGCCTTTGAGAGCGTTGGCCATGATCTGGGCAAAAAGTTCGCTATCGAATGGGGCCCCTGCTGGAAGGGGGGCTGCTGGAGCTTCTTGGGTAGTGACATGATTAGTAGATGCTACAGTAGAGAGGGCCGAGTGCCGTTTGAATTCTTTGAAGAGGGCTTTGTATGTGGGGACCTCAGCTGCAAATGCACTGACGGTGGATGGGGAATATGTCAGATGCGTAGCTAGGTCGCTGTCTGGAAATCGATCGGTTGGGATGGTGTCGGCGCTGAAGATGTGGGCGTGGGAATGGATACTCTGGGACTCATTGTGATCGTGAAGGTACTTCATTGCCTCGTACCAGAGCCGGAATTGGGGGTGGAAGGAGTCCAGATTGGCTGGTGGGGCGGTGGATAGCTTAAGGCTTGGTGGGAGGTTGGCACCAGGGTAGATGGGGAAGAACTTTTTGACTTCGGTGAACACTCCGTCCCCACTGGGCCAGTGCTATCGGGGGCCAAGGCAGTGTGGGCAGAGTATTGGGCGTCATGAAGGTGCCGGGCTTGACATTCTCAAGCGAGGTCGTCTTGGGCAATAGAGATGATGCTGCTGCCAAGGGCATCTAAAGAAAAGGCAACTGGGGTGGGGGCATCATAGCTATCATTCGCGGATGCCCAGTGCAAGTTTGGGCCGACCTGCTTAGCGCAGATGACTTGCCGGAGGGTACCATCGGCGCCATCAAAGTAAGCAAATCCGTGCGCTTGGGAGAGGAGGATGTTTTTGCACTCACTAGCGACATGGGTGTGGAAGTAGTTGGAGAGGAGGAGGTTTTCCTTAGTAGTATCCAGGGGTAGGTCCTTGACGATTGTCAAGGCAGAACGGCCGACCTGGAGGATGGCATCAAGGTGCGTGGGGGAAAGGTCTGCATTGGTTCAATGAAATGGCCAATACTGGAGATTTGTGAGTAGGCTATGGAAACGAATAGTGACTATTGGGGGTAATTTTTAAATGAAATTTGTTGGTTGGAACGGTCGGTTCTTAGAGGTAGTAGTGCCTAACGGAAGGATGCCTGGTGGAGTATCCAGGGTGGGCCATCATGGTGTTACAAACGGAAGGCTGGGTGTAGTCGGAGTGCCAAGATGCGCTGCCAGACTTTGGCGAAGGCACTGGCGACGGGACTCACACGATTGGCTCATAGTGGGTTGGGTGCGGAGGTCCACGGAGGTGGAGTTGGCCGAATTGGGCGGTGTCTCACTCGAACGTTGGCGAAAATGCTAGTGCCGCACAGGATTGGTATGGCGGTGGATGGTCTGCCACCGGTAGGTAAGGGAGCATGGAAATGGGAGATGCTGCAGGTTGGGGACTGGTGGAGATTTCCAGGGAGAATAGTTGGTTGTTGACTGAAAACAAATGCACAGGCGCATTGAATAGGGTGGTAGCATGGGGCTAAACCACCTGATACCGGGTGTTGGTTCAAATATCAGGAATTTGAGGTGCCACCGGTGGGCAAGTTAAACAGCGGATGGGCGCTGACGCAACGGTGCATTTTGATAGGGCTCCTGTGAGGGAGGTGGTCGTTGACAGTCAACAAATGCACAGGCGCATTGAACAGGGTGGTAGCGTGGGGCTAAACCACCTGACACCGGGTGTTGGTTCAAATATCAGGAATTTGAGGGGTGCCACCGGTCGGCAAGTTAAAACAGCGGATGGGCGCTGCCGCAACGGTGCGTTTTGATAGGTCTCCCGAAGGAGCAGTTTTACGTCAAGTGCGACGCTCTCGGGTACGCGAGAGGAAATTGGGATGCCACAGGTTGATTGGGCTCAAATCGGATTTGAGAATGCAACCTGGGCAAATTTGGATGGACGACTCCGGGAGTCCGGTAATGAGTAGATGAAAGAAAAAAAGATATAATCGTTCTGAACTGTTTCAGATGATCATTGTTCCTTAGCTCTTCATCGATGCTCCTTCGTTTGCCATGCCGATCGTCCCCAAATTTTCGTCCAATGAATTACCGTTACTTCGCTTTTAAGCGACTGAGGACATGACTGTTGGCGTGAAGACAGGAGTCTTCTCTTGCCAGTCCGTCTACCGTCTTGCCTGATCATTTTATAATCAAGACCTACTATGTCCTCTTGGGAGTCAAATGGACGAACGAAATGCTCTTATGGGGCTATACGACGTTCAATCAAGATCGTGAAAACTGGGATGTTTCTTCTGTGACAAATGCAGCAAAAATGTTTGAAGGAGCGGGTTCGTTTGATCCTTCTTGTTGGAATCTCCCTAGAAGTAAAAATCTATCGGTCTTGCAATTGTGAGCTAAATTATTCCTTACTCTATTTTCTAGTCTTGCTTCTCAGTCATGCACAGCATCTGGTATCTTGCCATGACTACA